AAAAAAAAAAAAAAAAAAAAAAAGTGAAGCCAAGTTTGTTGTTCTCTTAAATGTGCATTACTTCCTTTCTGAAAGGCATATTTCCAGGTGAAGCTTGTGAAAACAATCATCCCGTCAACCCTCTAATATATTTCTTCTGGACACAGAGTATAGTGATAGAGAAGTCTAGTGAGGAACTCTATACCTTCCTCACTGCTGCGTTGATTTTGTGACCTAGGAAACCAAAGCAGCTTTTAATGGCCAATGGAAAAGTTCAAGCCCTTCTGTCCAACCTTTCAGGAAAGGAAGATTGGATCTAGACATAGTTGAGCTAGAGCAAGAAATAGCAGGTCTAGATGTAAGCTGCCTATGAATCTTGGGGTTATATATGCTAGTGATAGAATACAGAAACATACTGGTAAATCTAAGCAAAATAAAATACCAAATAATCCCCACTTTTTGAGAGTGTATAAACTTGGTCAGTCTGAAAATCAGTCTATAGTCAAGGGTTTTTCTTTCTTCCTCTCCCTTTGAGAGACACGTAGGAGAAATCAAAGATTATGAGTCAGCATTCCCTAAGTTTTACTGCCTTCTTGTTGTAACATTCAATAGTTTGGCATGATGAGCAGTTAGAGTGAAATTATTCTTTTCCTGAGAACACTTTCATGGGAATAAAAGTTTCGCCTGGTCCCTGTAGTTGGGTTTCTATGATGCTCTCCCATGTGTGTGTATGGTTTCGGGAAGAGAGGATCTGTATGGACTTCATTTTTATTAAGCAAAAAACAGAGAAGCTTCATGAATTTTCACAGCTCAGCATTGATCTATGCAACTAACACAAAGAGTCTTGTATGCAATGAATGAAGTTTGCTCAAATGACACTTGCTGGTGATTTTTTAAAGTTTTATTCTAAAGGAATCTTTGTCTTGTGTCATCTTCCTTTAACAGCCCACTTTTCCGGTAGGTCCCGCAATAGGGACAAATACGGCGATTAGCTTTGCTCCTTACTTAGCACCGGTAACCCCTGGAGTTGGGTTAGTCCCAACGGAAATTCTACCCACCACACCTGTTATCGTTCCCGGAAGTCCACCTGTCAGTGTCCCGGGCTCAACTGCAACTCAGAAACTTCTCAGGACTGACAAACTGGAGGTACTTCAATTATATTTGTGGTTTGAGATGCATTTGTGGTAGAACTATACCTCTGTGTAAGTGAATGCTTGTAAGATATTAATTCAGTCTTGCAAAACAGCCATGCACACACATTCACCTAAAAGCCATGCATTCATAATTCTACTGTTTGAATTTAAGGTCAAGTAGAAAGGAAATTAGTCTGTGGGAAAAGAATAAGTTTAATACAAACAAAAATCTGTTGTGTGGAATGTGTGTTCAGGGGCAAAATATGTAACGACGAGTGGAACACTCAATCAATCACCATGCAGGCCACAAAGATGGCTCCCAAGGCCTCCAGCTGTGCCAGGCATGAACCTTTGCTGGATCCTGGAAAGGTCTGGTAACGGGCAGGTTAGGAGGCCAGCAGCCAGGACAAGGGGGACACTCAGGGACAGGGGAGGGAGGACGTAGGACCGTGACTACTAACCAAGTGGTATATGATCATATTTCAGTACTTGAAGAACTAGTATGGCTGCTCCAGCATGTTCCAGGATATCAGCCCCAGTTATGTATAGGTAAACGGGGAACTGGAGCCTGGGAAAATCTAATTACTGATTTGGGATATTTCCTTTAACTTAAATTCAAGTGAGCTACAACAGTCAAGAAAACACAGACTTAGAGAACAAACTTATAGTTACCAGGGGGAGGAAGGGTGGGGCGAAGGGATAGTTAGGGAGTTTGGGGTTGACATGTACGCACTGCTATATTTAAAATGGATAACCAACAAGGACCTACTGTAGAGCACAGGGAACTCTGCTCAATATTATATAACAACCTAAATGGGGAAAGAATTTGAAAAAGAATAGATACATGTGTATGTATAACTGAATCACTTTGCTGTACACCTGAAACTATCACAACATTGTCAATCAACTATACTCCAATATAAAATAAAAAGTTTAAAAATTCATATATTTATAAAACATAATTCTTAAGTCATGAGTCAAACCAACTCACCTGTACTTTACTAGGTAAAATTTCTCTTTAATCAGGGCATTCATCCATTTATCTTAACTACTGTATCCTATGACATTTAATAGAGCATTTTATATGGGTGTGTAAAGAGTCTGATAGATTTTTCAAAGAGTTCCTTTAATTCAACCACCAGTTAGTTGTTAGGTGATATATATGTATGGTTAGGATGTACACTGTGCTTTATCTTGGATCATCTGAGAATGTTCTTTCAATGTGCATTTGTTTAAATATTTACCCAATAAATACTGAAAATGATAAAACGTTGCCTAATATCAGCTTCCATCTGGAGTATATAGATCCCCAAATGAAAAGACAATAAACTCCCATCGCTACTGTTTTGATCAAGACTAACCCTGTGAATATTGAACAGACCTTTCATGGGACTGGAAGAGTGTTTGGGGCTCCACCTGGTGGACCCATGAAGGTTTCGTGTTCAGTACGTGACCGTGTGGTCTAGAAAACAAATTAAATCAGCTGAGTTGGGAACAAGTTGTCCTTCCCAACAGGATTGGTAGACAAAGGCATATGTAAAACTGATGCACGAGGACTTTAGCAAAGCAGCTTGCAATTCATTTCAAACCAGGAATGAAGTCAGCTACACACAGAGCCCCTTGGTAAATGCCTGAGGGCTACTCTACACCCCAATGCAGTCTTAGCCTGGAGTCATTCCACTTACAGAGGGAGGCATACTCAGAATCTGTGGGAACAGTTTAGTAATTTTTATTTTGTACATTTTATGAGCTAAAGATGGAATGTTGGATAATATCCAAAGTAGAAGGAAACAATTAATAATTTTGTGATTTATCTGTTTACCCTTTAAACTCGCTTAGTCACTGGTCAGTGAAACTGTATTTCCCAAGTACTTTTGACTCTCACAAGGCTCGAATGTCATGTCAGTGACCCTTCCTGTAATGTCACTAATGATAAAGATGTGAACCACCACTTGAGCACATCAACTTTGGATGTGGAGCCTGAGAAGAAAATAACTTACAATTTTACTAGTGATTCTTCCCTGATAATGATATTTATAAATATAGGTATTATGTATATATGTTATTTGTGTTACTTGACGTTATCGGTATTTAGGGCAAGGTTAAGAATACTCTTTACATTCCAAAGAAAATTTTCTTTAAACAGTAAACTCCTGATGCACGAGAATTCTCAGAGGATGGAGCACTGCAGTTACTTGAGATTTCAGGATAATTAAGGATTAAGGAATAACAAAAAGAAACAATACATCAACACTTCAAACTCTATTCTACTTCCCTCCTGTTACTTCTTTCCCTTTATCTCTTCCCATATTTCTCTCCGTTTTATTCTGTATTTTTACCTTCTGTGCTGTCAGAAATAATAGTATTGTGACTTAAATGAAAGTTTTGGTGTCTTAGATATCGTAGTTCTTCTAATTTATGAGTATAAGCATGCGTTAGCTTTGTGGAGCAGGACAGACCTATGGGAAAACGGGAGTATTCACGTTCACTCCAGCCCCACTCCCCATCCTCAGAGAGGAGAAACAAGGTCGTCACGTCGCCTTGTTCTTTTAGCAGTTGTGCAGCAATGACCTTGTGGCTTGATCTTTGGTGAAATAATCCCTCCATGTAAAAACCCTGTAAAATCCCAGAGCTGTCATGGTAGAAGATGTGGCTACACACAGACATCCAAATTTTATATACACGTGTGTGTGTATATATATATATACACACACACACGTATATAAAATCTCCAAATTACTATATATAATATATATATATATAAAATATTCTTTCTTTCCTTCCCTCCCTCCCTCCTTTCCTTCTCTAAATAAATAAATAAATAAATCCCAAGAACAATGGGGGCCTTGTTGATTTAACTGCAGATTTTGACTGACTTTTTTTTTTTTTTTT